ACAATAAATCAAAAATTAGCCGGGCGTGGTAGTGTGCACCTGTAGTTCCAGCTACTTGGAGGGCTGAGGTGGAAGGATCGCCAGAGCCCAGCAGCTTGAGGCTGCGGTGGCCGGGAGCGGCCACCACACTCCAGTCTGGGCGACTGAGACTCAAACTCAAAAAATAAAAAAAATAAAAAAAGTTAAGCAAAATCGACCAACCATCCCCGAACCTACTATCTTGTATATGAATGAAATGACCATGTTCCAAAAACAAACATGATCTGAGAAAGTCCAGTTTCTGGATGATTATAACTAACTCAGCACTCCCTGTACAACAAATTCAGTATTACACAGATTTATGAAAAGTAAATGTTCTAGCCAAGTATGGTGGCTCATGCCTAATTCCAGCGCTTTGGGAGGCAGAGGCAAGAGGACTGCCTGAGTCCAGGGGTTCGAGATCAGCCTGGGCAACTTGGTGAGACCTCATCTCTATAATAAATCAAAAGATTAGCTGGGCGTGGTGGCGCACGCCTGTAGTTCCAGCTACTTGGGCAGCTGAGGCGGAAGAATCGTTAAGCCAGCATGTCGAGGCTGTGGTGGCCGTGTGTGTGCTACTGCACTCCAGCCTGAGCAACAGAGTGATACTCCGACTCAAAAAAAAAAAAAAAAAAAGGAGTAAATGTTCTACAACCCCCCATTTTATTAAGAGCTCACAGGAACTCTTTCCAGGTTTCAGCAGGTCTTTTCAGTCTTGCCAGAAGTAAGTTAACACAGTAGAAGAAATGAGAGCTTAGCTGTCAAGACATAACTGCTGGGGCTCTAGCAGTGACTGGCACTGACACACGTCAATGGAGAGCATAGCCATGGCCATCTGCAAAACCTCCAGATTGGTAAGACACACTCATCACATTTCTTTTGAAGAACTTTCAAATGCTTTTAGTTAAAAAAACCCACACTGTATGTTTAAAAAGTGATCCTATCCAAACTGGCTTTTATTTATTAATAATAAAGTCTATTGACACACTGCTTGCAAATATAGACACAAAAATTATAAAAATAAACCATTAGATATTTAAGGGCAGATGCAAAACCTTGCACATTAAGTCATTAAAGGTCTTGTATTTTTTTTTTGAGTTGGAGTCTCACTCTGTCACCCAGACTGGAGTGCAGTGGCCGCTCCCAGTCACCGCAGCCTCGACCTGCTGGGCTCCGGCGATCCTTCCGCCTCAGCCTTCCGAGTGGCCGGAATTACAGGCATGCGCTACCACGCCCGGCTGATTTTTTGATTTATTTTAGAGATGAGGTCTCGCTGGCCAGGTGGGTCTCGAACCCGCGGGCACAGGCAATCCACTCACCTCAGCCTCCCAAAGGCACGGGATTACAGGCTGAGCCACCGAGCCCGGCTTTGTATATTTTTTATACTGTAACAGTTACTAGGAACTAGATTTATTAAGAAAAAAAAGCAAGGTGCAAATGATCAAGTACTATGTTACCAATTGTGTTTTTAGGAAGAGAGAGTGTAGGTGCGGTGGCTCATACCTGTAATCCCAGCACTTCGGGAGGCTGAGGTGAGAGGACTGCCTGAGCCCAAGGGTTTGAGACCAGACTTGGCAACTTGGTGAGGCTTCATCTCTACAATAAATCAAGAAAAATTAGCCGGGTGTGGTAGCATGCATAGGGTGCGGTGGCTGTGAGCGTGCCACTGCACTCCAGCCTGGGTGACAGAGACTCAGACTCAAAAAATAAATAAATAAATAAAGAAGAGAGACAGACACTCTTACGTATCTCTGGAAGGATACTTAAGAAACTGCAATCGGTGGTTACCAGAAGAACTGGGGGTCAGGGAGTGGGCAGGAAGCTCACATTCACTGAGTGTCCTTTGGTGCTATTAAAAATTTTTTAGAAATCATTTCATGTACAAATGATTGAAATATTTTGATTAGCAGTTGTGTTTAAGACTAAACACTTAACAGATTTGACAATTACATACCACAAGGAATTTAAAAATTCCAAGCACTTTTGGAATTTTTTCATAAAGAGGTTTGCAAGGTAAGAAATGAGTGAGAAATGCTGATGCAGAACATATTTTATTGCAGTGATATTTTCAGGAAGAATTTCATTTCCAAGGGTGAAATATTTCAGGGGGTATGTGAAGACTAGAAGCTGACAACAGTGGCCAAGGTTAGATTTTTTTTTTCTTTCCTAAGAAAAAAGGTTTGTGCAAATATTTAGGAGACTTGAAACCATCACTTTAAGTAAAAAACTGAAATATCTTACAGTGAGTTTTAGGTCTGCTTGACAGAAGAATCAAGGTTAATTTACAGCCAGCCATTAATACGCTACTCACCTGCATGTTATTCAAGAAAAGAAAATGTCAATATACAAGAATAATGGAGTGTTCTTATTTTCTGCTGTCTTGAAAACAAGTACCAGGATGTAATTCAGGATTTCATTTCGCTAGCCTGGCTTCTCACTCATCATGGCGGTCATGGCACAGACATTAACTGTTCCAGATACCATGATCTGCTGTTCATGTGCTTTCTAGGTTGGGTATCTACCCTCTGTACTCCTTATGTTTTTCCCACGGTCTCAACTGATTAGTGTGGTATTCCTCCACTCCTGATCAAGTACATAGCCTAAATCCAGAAAGATAAAGTTGGCTCACTCCCTTCTTCCCAATCTATACCTTTGTTGTTTGAGAAACAGGAAGAAATGATCTGCCTTCTGCATTACACCCATTGGTTCCAACACACAGAACAGCAGATCAAGATGACACCTGTGAGGCTCATGTCTTTACCCTGGAACAAGCACACCTGCAAACAATCAGCTTGGGGGATGTTTAAAAGTCCCTCAAAAAATTAGGAATAATATCTCTAGTATAAAAATTCAAAAACATCCAGTTCCAAATAGTCCCTGAGCACACTGTTCATTCCAGCAAGAAGTCTCCAGAAAGGTACGAAAGGCACATTTTCTCCGACTTGAAGACGCTGCATAGTACTAGAGATGGCACACCAGCCAGGCTGATCAAAAGTTTTAATTGATGACACCCCCCCCCATTTTAGATCTTGTATGCTGGAAAAATAATCTAATTTCAGGTGTAAACACAACGCTTTCAACTAGAGGAGTGGCAGCTGGGATACAACAAGCCTCCCATGGAAGGTTCACGAGTAAAGGAAAGCTTCAAGCCTCCTCTTCTTCCTTCTCCAAGAAATCAGTCAATGTTCCATTGTCAACAGGAATTAATAAATACTCCACTCCATCAGTTCCCTGAAAGATGTAAGAACACCCTGTATGTTAGTCTTTTGTAAGAGGGGTGTTGGAACCCTTCTATGATAGTTTAAAGAAATGAATTTGATGTATTTGATGCAGTCTTGTAAGTAAGTATATAAGTATAAGCATTAAGGCAAAAAGGCACACAGGCATATATACCTATTAAATACACTAAGCTATAGTTAAGCCACTTTATAATGGAAAAGAAGAAGAACTGGATGGTGGGCACAGATCTTCCTCATTGTGCTTTAGAGCCTCTTGACTCGACTTCTCTGTCCTTTTTTCCCTTTTCACCAAGAACCTTGCCTGTTGGCTTTTCTTTTTTTTTTTTTGACTCAGAGTCTTACTCTGTTACCCAGGCTGGAGTAGTGGCACACTCATGGCCACCGCAGCCTTGACGTGCTGGGCTCAGGTGATCCTTCCACCTCAGCCTTCCAAGTAGCTGGAACTACAGGTGTGTGCCACCATGCCCAGCTAATTTTTTGATTTATTGTAGAGATGAAGTCTTGTTATGTTGCCCAGGCTGGTCTGGAACCCATGGGCTCAAGCAATCCTCTCACCTCAGCGTCCCAAAGTGCTAGGATTATAGGTGTGAGCCACCATGCCCAGTTTCTTCCTAGTTTTCTGGCGGTTTCTCTCACTTCTGCAGGCTTATTACCTTCTACATAAATGGCAGACTTAGAGGCTGAGTTCCTGACTCTTAAATCTCACTAATGGTTCTCCCTCCAGGTAGTCCTCCCAGTGTCTGGTTCCAATTATGATCTACGTACTTAGAAATCATAATCTTGTATCTCCAGCCCAGATCTTTCCTCTGGTTTCTTGTCCCAGGTATCCAACCGCCTACTTGACATTTCCACTTGAAATTTCAAAGGAGCTGGGTGCATCTCAAGCCTGAATCTCAGCACTTTGGGAGATGGAGGCGAGAGGACTGCCTGAACTCAGGTGTTATCTAGCCTGAGCAACATGGCGAGACCTCATCTCTACAATAAGTCAAAAAATTAGCCGGGTGGTTGCACATGCCTGTGGTTCCAGCTACTTGGAAGGCTGAGACAGAAGGATCACCTGCAAGTCGAGGCTGTGGTAGCCATGAGTGTGCCACTACATTTCAGCCTGGGTGACAGAGACTCCAACTCAAAAAAAAAAAAGAAATCTCAAAGGAACCTCAAACAGAGTAAGTCTAAACTTACTAAGATTATAACTCATCATCTCTCCCCAGAATGCTGCTCTTTAAGCTTTTTGCCAATGATCCCATCATCTCTCTGGTTACGCGAGCCAGGAACCAGAGTCATACCTTTCCCTTGGCCCCCATAATCCAGTCTGTCACCAATTCCTATCACTTCTGCCTCCTGAGTGTATCTTGAATCCAACTCCTCTCTCTCTTCTCCCATCCCAGTCACCATCATCTTACCCAGTCTACCATGAACACAGTCCCAGCTGCCTCTAGACACCCGTTAGGCAGCCCATTCCCCTTGCCACACCAGAGTCAGAACAATTCTGTGATGTCTTCTCATCAAAGAATACAGATGAAAATCCTTCCTGGGCCTAATGCCATGTGTGTTCTATCCATCACATTCTTCTCTCTTCAGCCTCCTCTTGGTCTGTGCTGGCCTTTTTGTTCAAAGTTTTCTTTGTGCACTTTCTCTGGCCTGGAATACTCTTCCCTTCCCTTTGTGACTATCTCCTAGGACTCCTTTAGCTCTCAGCTCAGCAGTCTCTTCTGATAGCCATAATTAGGTCAATTCCACCTCTTTTAATATGCTGTTTCAGAACCACGGACTCTCTGATCACAGGGCTTACCTCACAGTTACAACTGTACATGTGTTGATGATCTGACTAAGGCCCATTTCCCCCATCAGACTTTAAGCTCTGTAAGAAAAGCAATTAGCAAAAACCTAAAACCTAGTCTAATATCTGATATATAGTTAGTACTCAATAAATATAGATGGAATTAATGACTGGCCTGTAGAGGGGAGAAAGAAGGAAATAGAATTATTTGACTTATACTGTATTCCTAATTGCCTATTACTCTGGACTAGAACTTATAAGTAAGGCAGAGTACTTCTACCACGGCTTTTTTTTTTTTACAGAACTCAAGTGGCCCGTTGCCTAAGTGAACCCTGTGAACCAACATGGAACCTAGGTTTCAAAAATCAGGTCTAAATCAAAAGTATATTTGTCCTTAAGTCAACGATATGCAGTATGGCTGGCATACAATGCTACAACAGCAAAGTCTTACCTTTTTTGTTTTTATAAGCTTGTGGTCCCTAAATTCAGTTAACTGGGCCCGGAGCGTCAGATCACTATTGACAAGAAACGCCTCCCGACACTGCTGGTAAAAATCTTGAAAAGAAAGTCCTGGTGAGTTCAAAAGGAGATATGAAAGTAAGTCGGCAGTCAAGACATGACTCCATATATGAATACCCAAGCCAAAGAACATAGAACAAAAGTGATGTTGGCATGTTACGCCAAAGCAGTAAACAAGTACTGATTTAAAAAAGAAAAGAAAAAGAAAAATAAGTACTCTGGAAGAAGTAAAACTAGAGAACACTTAGATGTTACACATTTGGCTTATAGTTTTTAAAGAGAACCAATTAGTAAAAGTCAGCCATTACTAAGTGTAACATAACCCTGTAGGCAGTTTTAAAGATCATAAATAAAGTTGACTTTCTTTATTTGTATAGAGGTGGGATCAAGCTATGTTGCTCAGCCTGGAGTATAGTTACTATTTTTTCTTCTTTTTTTTTTTTGAGTTGGAATCTCACTCTGTCAACTAGGCTGGAGTACAGTGGTATACTCATGGCCACCCCAGCATCAATCTGCTGGGCTCCAGTGATCCTTCCACCTCAGCCTTCTAAGTAGCCGGAACTATAAGCGTGTATGTGCTACCATGCCTGGCTAATTTTTTATTTATTGTAGAGATGAGGGCTCGCCAAGTTGCCCAGACTGGTCTCAAACCTGCAGGCTCAGGCAATCTACTCATCTTGGCCTCCTAAATTGCTGAGATTACAGCCTGAGCCACTGAACCTGGCCTTTTTTTTTTTGAGTTGGTGTTTCATTGTCACCTGGCTGGAGTGCAGTGGCATGCTCACAGTCACCACAGTCTTGACCTGCTGGGCTCAGGTGATCCTTCTACCTCAGCCTTTCAAGTAGTTTGGAAACACAGGCACACGTCACCATGCCTGGCTAATTTTTTGTTGTTGTTGTTTATTATAGAGACGAAGCTGCCCGGGCTGGTCTTGAACCCATAGGTTCTGGCAATCCTCTTGCCTTGACCTCCAAAAGTGCTGGGATTACTGATGTGAGCAACCATGCTCAGCTAGCTGCTATTTTCAGTTGTGATCATGGCGCACTATAGCCTCAAACTCCTGGCTCAAGCAGTCTTTCTGCCTCAGCCTCCTGAATAGCTGGGACTACAGGTGCATGCCAATAGGATTCACTTAAAGCTAGTTTTGTTTTTTTTTTGACTTGGAGTCTCACTCTGTCACCCAGGCTGGAGTGCAGTGGCATGGTCATGGCCACCACAGCTTCGACCTCAGCCTTTCCAAGTAGCTGGAACTACAGGCATGCACCACCACATCTGGCTAATTTTTTTGATTTATTGTAGAGATGAGGTCTTGCCAAGTTGCCCAGGCTGGTCTCAAAACCCTGGTCTCAGGCAATTCTCTCACTGGGGCCTCCTAAAGTGCTGGGATTATAGGTGTGAGCCACTGCACCCAGTCTTAAAGTTGACTTATAAAGAAGGAACTAGTAAACCGTGAGAGCAGAACAATTATGGAAATGTTTGTTTAAATTAACACATCACTTTTGCCAAGGGGAGGATAATCTTCTAAGATGCCCAGCATATGAAAAATAGATAACTGGCAGACACACATCCATAGTCAGCACAGAAAGTTTTATGACTAAGATGGGTTTGTGGTTTGTTTTTTTTCTTGAGTCGGACGGAGTCTCACTCTGTTGCCCAGACTGGAGGGCAGTGGCACACTCATGGCCACTGCAGCCTCAACCTGCTGGGCTCAGGCGATCCTTCTGCCTCAGCCTTCCAAGTAGCTGGAACTACAGGCGTGTACCACCATGCCCAGCTAATTTTTCTTGATTTGTTGTAGCGATGAGATCTTGCCAAGTTGCCCAGGCTGTTCTCAAACCCCTGGCAATCCTCTCGCCTTAGCCTCCCTAAGTGCTGGGATTATAGGCGTGAGCCACTGCCCCTGGCCAGAGCTGGGTTTTTTAATTCATGTCGGCAGATAGCCCACTCAGCAGTGTATCTGCAGGGCAGCCTGAAAATTCATTAGGTACTGACATACCCAAAGTGACCAATGTGAAAAACTGCAGTGCTACCACTAGATTCCAGAAAAGGACATTTATAGAGTAATACAAAAGTTACACAATTTAATATCACAAACACTGAATACCAATGTAGGAAGGGTTATCCTGGTTATCCAGCTGGTACTTTATCAGTAACCTGAAAATGCCCCTAAGGAAAAAAACAAAAAATAGGACTTTAAATCCCAAATGTTAACAACAAAAGATAAGAGCAAAGAGTAAAATACACGAAGAAAATGTCAAATACTTGGCCTGTCTGCCTTGGCTTCTATTCCTTTCTCCAAAGAATATGATATCCTTGTCTACTTAAACAAAAAATGCTTTCTTCTTTAAAAAAAAAAAAACAACAAAAACCGTAAAAGTATTTTTTCTGACTATAGGTTAGTCTTTGTAGAAAACCTGGAATATTTCATAACATCTAAAGAGGAAAACATCAATCCCATAATCCTAAGGAACAGCTATTAACATTTGGTGTTGAGATCATACTGAGAATGTTGCTATCCTAAACCTCTGTGGAATAAGGCAGGGTGGAAATACATAAATCCATACATTTATGTACTACATACATGACTTTATACTTCACCTTTTCACTTACTGATTTTTTCCCATGTCTTTAAAGTTCTTCATAAACAGGTTTTAATGGCTACTTTCTATTGTTGCAACACAAACTATTTCTCTATTGGTTTGGGGTACTTGCTTTATTTCCAGTTTTAGATTAAAAATAACTCTGCATTAAATAAAACTACATATTTTTCGATATTTTGAATTATTTCTATAGGAGAGTGAACCAAGTGGAACAATGGGGTTGGAAACAGTATTACACAAAATAAGATTCTCAGGAATCCTTGAGTGTGCCAAAAATTTTAAACATTTGCATTTTCATTTTTATGATGATCTAGAAAACAATTACTATAACATATTTTGGATCAATAGAATGACCACTTTTTAACTGAGTGCTACTACTGAATCCAGAGCTGAATTTTAAGATGTTTTTATCAATCACATTCATACCAAGTAAAGACTAAATGATACTGGAGTTTGCACAATGAACCCAAATTTCAAAATAGTTTTAAAAAATATTGGAGGTTAGTACACAGACATTTAAGCATGCCAAACTAAAACATATCTACATCGCAGTAGTCAGGGCCATATTTAATTGTGTGATTACACTACATGGGCACTCAACTTTACACATAGCAACTTTCTTTTTTATTTTTTTGAATCAGGATTTCACTCTGTCACCCAGGCTGGAAATACAGTGGCACAATCATGGCTCACCACAGCCTCCACCTCCTGGGCTCAAGTGATCCTTCTGCCTCAGTCTCGCAAATAAGTGGGACTATAGGCACGTGCCATCACATGTGGCTAATTTTTTTATTTTTTGTAGAGATGAGGTCTTATTATATTGCCTGGGCTGGTCTTAAACTCCTAAGTTCAAGTACTCTTCCTGCCTTGGCTTCCCAACAAAATAACCATAAAATTTAAGTAAAATTCATGAAAATCCTGCTTTTTCTCCATGATGACCACTTAGATGCTCTTACTCAGAAATATCAAAATATACTGAGAAAAAATGTTGGTACTCTTGCTTTATGATTATCGGGCAATTTGACAGACTATTATTGAGTAGTCCGCCTATTGCATAATCCAGTACTGGTACCCTTTTTTTTTTTTGAGTTGGAGTCTCACTCTCACCCAGGCTGGAGTGCAGTGGCATGCTCACAGCCACTGTAGCCTCGACCTGCTGGGCTCAGCTTCCCAAGTAGCTAAAACTACAGGCATGTGCCATCACACCTAGGTAATTTTTTTTTTTGATTTGTTGTAGAGCCAAGTTGCCCAGGCTGGTCTCGAACCCATGGGCTCAGGCAATCCTCTCACCTCGGCCTACCAAAGTGCTAGGATTACAGGCGCGAACCACTGCACCTGGCAAATATTTTTACTACCATTTCTCTTAATTTTTCAAACTTAGTAGGGTCCTTAGTATCAACATTAAAACCTAGTAGTGCATATCTTAAAATGTATAGCGTTTTAAAAAAAAGAAATATGATTTTCACCCTTACCTTGCATTAGGGGTAAGACTTCGTAAGACGTGCATCAGAGAACAAAGTGGAAGGGATCCAGATTGTTTAACCAGAAGAGAGTTCTCATAGGAGGTTTCTTCAGTATAAGAACTATATGTAGTAGTTTCATACCAGAGCCAGTTATAAAGACTCTGCTTTGCATGATCCCACACTAGTGCACATGGCCAAGGAAAACAAAAATTACATATTATTTTCATATTGTCATGTTACTACATTCCACTCTAAGAAATAAAGAGAAAACATTAAATAACAATGAATCCTAAAGCCAGTGAGGTGGCTCATGCCTGCAGTCCCAGTGCTTTGGGAGGCCAAGGCAGGAGGTTGATCCCAGGCACTCGAGACCAGGTTAAGCAACATAGCAAGGCCTTGTTTCTACAAAAAGAAAAAAAAATTGGCTGGGTGTGGTGGTGCATACCTGTAGTCCCAGCCACTTGGGAGGCTGAGGGAGAAGGATTATCTGAGCCCAGAAGGCTAAGGCTGTGGTGAGTCATGATCACGCCACCACACTCCAGCCCTGGCAACAGAGTGAAACCCTGACTCTAAAAAAAAGAAAAAAAAAAATCTAAAAGTTTTCATTTTTACCACCTCCTCATCCAAGTCAGTAGATCATGCTCTAATTTAATTGTCAATAAAATTGGAATCTTTATTTGTACATTAAATATAAATTAAAATATCTTAGCACTACCAAGGCATTCTTCTTTAAAAATTTAATAACATAACATTTTGTTCTACAGAATTATCACGAAGTCTCTGAATAAAGGTCATAAAATATATGTTGTAATAACACAAGAGCAGAAAGAGACTAAAATAATAACTTGGTCTTCTCTTCCTCATGCAATGTTAAACATAAAACATCTTCCTTTAGTAGCTGAATTTTTTTTCTTGAGTCAGGGTCTCACTCTGTCACCCAGGCTGCATAAAGGGCAGTGGTACAATTATGGGTTACTGCAGCCTGGATACTCTGGGCTCAGGCAATCCTCCCGTCTCAGCCTCCTAAGTAGCTGGGACTACAGGCATGTGTCACCATGCCTGGCTAATTTTTTATTTTGAGTTGGAGTCTCACTCCGTCGCCCAGGCTGGAGTGTAGTGGCACGCTCCTGGCCACTGTAGCCTCGACCTGCTGAGCTCAGGTGATCCTTCCACCTCAGCCTTACAAGTAGCTGGAACCACAGGCATGTGCCACCATGCCCAGCTAATTGTTTTTGACTTATTGCAGAGATGAGGTCTTGCCAAGTTGCCCAGGCTGGACTTGAACCCCTGGGTTCAGGCAGTTCTCTCACTTTGGCCTCCTAAAGTACAGGATTGTAGGTGTGAGCCACCTCACCTGGCCTTTTTTATGTTATTGTTTAATTTTTAAATTTTATTTATTTATTTATTTTTTTGAGTTGGAGTCTCACTACATTGCCCAGGCTGGAATGAAGTGGCACACTCACAGTCACCCCAGTGTTGACCTGCTGGTCTCCGGCGATCCTTCCACCTCAGCCTTCCAAGTAGCTGAAACTACAGACGTGCGCTACCATGCCTGGCTAATTTTTGATTTGTTGTAGAGATGAAGTCTCACCAAGTTGCCTGGGCTGGTCTTGAACCCGCGGACTCAGGGAATCCACTCGCCTTGGCCTCCCAAACTGCTGCGATTACAGGCTGGGCCACCAAGCCTGGCCTATTGTTTAATTTTTATAGAGATGAGGTCTCACTATGTTGGCCAGGCTGGTCTCAAACTCCTGGGCCCAAGCAATCCTTTCACCTCAGCCTCCCAAAATGCTGGGATTACAGGCATGAGCCATCACACCTGACTTAGTATCTGAATTTTTATTTCCAAAACTTATGTTCTAAATGAAACTGAGTATAATTTTTATGCAACCAGTGTTTTTGAAGATGTAACAGAGTACACTAAAAATTTTTTTACAGACAACATTAAGAAAATTAATTTCATGGGACCAATATCTGAAAAAAAATAGTAGCATTTAACTTACTGAGGGGAGCATTGAGGTGATCAATGGATGCTATAAGGTATATGTTATGCAAAGATGATAACTGTCCAATGATTTGCTGGCTCTTGTCTCCTCTCAACATTTGGCTATCCAAATTGTGGATGAGAAGGAAGAGTTCTAAGGATGAATCTAAAAGGAAAAGGAAACAATTATTATCCTCAGTGACATTTCAGCGAATATTTTCCCTTCCACACACAATGCCTAGGTATTAATTGAATACATCAAAGTAGTAAAGAATAAAGTAATGATTGATTGGGGCATGTAATTTATTGGAGAATATGTCATTCATTCATAAAATGGGCAAAACATGGTAGCCCTAAAGAAAGCAGTTTTAATAAAGCACAGGAAATGCAGCAATATGTATATAACAGACTGGAGGTGAATCTGTGCATGTTGTATTATAGGGTGGGAGTGGAGGGGATACCAAAAAAGGAAAAAAAAAAGAGTTCTCAATGAGCATTAAGAGATCACATAGAAAATTCTGATTATTGTGATGACCAAAAGAGATTAAAAAAAAAAAAGAAGGAAGAGGTTTAGAATATTGCTCAAGGTATCAGAAAGTTCAGAGAAATTATTATCATAAAAGTCAGTGAAGGCCAGGTGGGGTGGCTCAAGCCTATAATCCCAGCACTTTGGGACCCCGAGGCAAGAGGACTGCCTGAGCCCACAGATTTGCGACCATCCTGGGCAACACGGTGAGACCTCGTCTCTATAATAAATAAAAAAATTAGCCAGGTGTGATAGCATGCTCCTGTAGTTCCAGCTACTTGGAAGGTTGAGGTGGAAGGATCACTGAAGCCCAGCAGGCTGACGCAGGGTTGGTCGTGAGCATGCCACTGTACTCCAGTCTGGGCCATGGAGTGAGACTCCAACTCCAACTCCAAAAAAAAAAAAAGTCAGTGAAGAAGGTCAGGCGTAGCTGTTCAAGTCTGTAATCCCGGACTTTGGGAGGCTGAGGTGAGGGGGTTGCCTGAGTCCATGGTTTGAGAACAGCCTGGGCAACTTGGCAAGACCTCATCTCTACAATAAATTAAAAAATTAGCGAGGAGTGGTATGGCGTGCCTACAGTTAAGGCTACTTGGAAGGCTGAGGTGGAGGGATCGCTTGAGCCCAGCAGGTTGACACTGGGGTGGCTGTGAGCGTGCTACTGCACTTCAGCCAGCACGATGGAGTGACTCGAACTCAAAAAAAAGTCAGTGAAGGCATGGTGGCTCACACTGCACTCCAGTCTGGGTGACAGAGTGAGACTCCAACTGAAAAAAGAAAAAAAAAAGAAAAGGAAGCATGTTGAAAACTAAAGAGGATAGAGAAAAATAAGTCAAAATTATTATGGGGTAAAACATCATAGCAATTTTTTTAAATGAAAGAATTAGGTTTAAAGAATTGAAAATAAACTAAGCAGATTTATCTTATGCTAAGCCTGCTATTGATTCACTATATGCCTATATAATCAAGGAATGAAGAATGTTCATATATGTTGTTAGTTTTGGGGTTCAGTGAAATATATATACTTTACTCTCATGTTATATAAAGTTGCTGTAAACACAAGAATTAGAGAATACTGAATTGCTGTTTCTAGAGGAAATATAGGGTCAGGTTCCTGTTGACAACATTTTCTTTCTTTTTTTTTTTTTTTTTTGAGTTGGAGTCTCACTCTAGTCACCCAGACTGGAGTGCAGTGGCACACTCACGGCCACCACAGCCTTGACCTGCTGGGCTCAGGTGAGCCTTCCACCTTAGCCTTCCAAAGTGCTGGGATTACATGCACACGCCACCACACCCAGCTAATTTTTTGATTTATGGTAGAGATGAGGTCTCACCAAGTTGTACAGGCTGGTCTCGCACCTGTGGGCCTTTGGCTGGTCTCAAACCCGTGGACTCAGGCAGTCCTCTTACCTCGGCCTCCCAAAGTGCTGGAATTATAGGTGTGAGCCACCGTGCCTGGCCGAGAACATTTTCATGAACCAATCAATAATAACTTTGCTTTATGTGTCTTTGTTCAATGACAATTTTATTTTTTATTATTTGTTTTTGAGTCAGGTCTCACTCTTTGCCCAGGATGGAGTACAGTGGCACAATCACAGCACACCATAGTCTTGACTTCCTGAGCTCAGGCAATCCTTCTGCCTCAGCCTCCTGAGTAGCTAGGACTACAGGCGTGCACCACTATGCCTGGCTAAGTTTTAAAATTTTTTTGTAAAGACAAGGTCTCATTATGTTGCCTACACTGGTCTCAAACTCCTGGCCTCAGCCTCCCAAAGTGCTGGGATTACGGGTATGAGCCACCATGCCTGACCAACTTTGTTTTTATTTTCTTACATTGGAAAATATAGTCTATTTAGAAAGTAAATTAGAGAGGAGATTCACCTCCTCAAGGTAGGGGAGGGGACCAAAACTAAGAAAAATGGCCTGGCCATAACTCCAAGAACACATGGTCAGACCACAGCTTACCAAGCCAGTCGTTCAACTTTATTTTCTTAGTTTTAACTTCATTTTTAATATACATTATTCATCCATTAACACTGAAGTCACAGTCAACAGCATTATAATTTATACCTGAAGGAAGCTTATATAACACAGGCATTTTTTCCCAAAAGGCATACCGTAGTCTTCTTGTGCTTAGGAACACTGGACAGCATTTTAGTACTATGCCTGGGGGCCATTTTGAACAGTCAAATCATTTGACCAGACAGTAGAATAAGAAAAAAACAAATCACCAACAGAAAACAAAAAAGCATGAAAAATGTGGCATTAAATAGAATGCATAGCCTTATTTGAGCCCTGTTGGAAATATGTACTTTGGGCAATTCTAATTTTTTGCCACTCTGTCAAAAAGAAAAGAATACTGATTTTGGAATTACAAATAAATGTTGGCGAGCAGGTAAATTTGCAACTTTAGAATTTATGAAAAATGACATCAACTACTTGTTTTCAAATGAATTGAGATGGTATAAAAATGTATACTGCCCATGTTTACAAAGGACTACAGATAAAATGAGAGTAGAAGCCTGAAAAGAAGACACTTGGGACAAAAAACTTTTCAGCTCGCAAACAAAGATAAGGGAAAACAAGAATGCACTAGGATACTGATAAGAGAAGTAAAAATGCTATGGAAACAGAATTGAGATTATCATTCTAAATGAAATCATCCATCATAGTTAAGTACTAGCAATTACTTAATTCTTAAGCAATGACTTAATGACAAGCAACTGTCAGAGCCTGTAATATTATTCCCAATTTTCTGACATGCTCACATAACTAAAACATTCACACCAAAAGAAAAAAGGTCTTTTTCTCTATTCCCAAGATCTCAGTATACAAAATTATCCTGATGTAGTGACATTTACTCAGAATAAAGAAATAAGAATATTTCATAAAAATATTAAACAATATAAAAATAGCTAACAAAGATGTACCACTCAATTGGAAGGACATCACACTGGCAAAGCAAAACCTGAATATTATTCTAAAGTAAGAGGCTTTTGGCTGCCCAAATTTAAGACTGTGGGAGTGTTTTTCTCTCCTTCTAGTTAAGTGAAGATCACAGAAAAAGAAAGGACGAAACATTTTAGAGCACTGAGATAAGTGCCATTATTAAAATACTTTTTGTGTATATAAATACACAAATAAGTAGAAGTATATGCTTAACTTCACCCTAAAATTACAGAGTATCTACTTCATATTACCTTCTTTAAATCTGGTTACTATCCAGTCTAGCTGATCCAGCACACTTCGGAAAGTACCCATATGATCAAGGACTTCTTCTGTTATAGAATTCAGGATCTATATCAAAAAAGCACAAGAGGTACCACCTCAATTACTATTCTGTCACATAGGACAAATACAAATAGCAAATCAAGTCTTTTTCATCAAGTAAAAATATATTTGGATTTCCCATATAGTTTGAAAAGTCACTTTAAAAATTCTATTGGCATTTAAGTAGTTCATTATTTTTCATAAATTATGGCAAAAGGGAAGAATAGCAAAGATGTAAAGAACAGGAGAGGAGCAGCCGGGCTGTGTGGCTCAGCCTGTAATCCCGCGCCTTTGGAAGGCTGAGGTGAGTGGATTGCCTGAGCCCACGGGTTCGAGACCCCCCTGGGCAGCGAGACCTCATCTCTACAATAAATCAAAAAATCAGCTGGGTGTGGCAGCGCATGCTTGTAATTTCGGCTACTTGGAAGGCTGAGGCAGAAGAATTGCCGGAGCCCAGCAGGTCGAGGTTGCGGTGGCCGAAAGCAGCCACTGCACTCCAGTCTGGGCGACAGAGTGAGACTCCAACTCAAAAAAAAAAAAGGAATAGGAGAGAAGCAAAAACCAAAAAGCAAAACAAAACAAAAAAACCCCAACAATATGAGAAATAATTTTAAAAAACTACAGTTTTATTAAAGGAAACAGGACACAAACATCAGACACTTAAAAAAAGGAATACAGCCGGGCTCGGTGGCTCAGCCTGTAATCCCGCGCCTTTGGGAGGCTGAGGTGAGTGGATTGCCTGAGCCCGCGGGTTCGAGACCCGCCTGGGCAGCGAGACCTCATCTCTACAATAAATCAAAAAATCAGCCGGGCGTGGTAGCGCATGCCTGTAATTCCGGCTACTTGGAAGGCTGAGATGGAAGGATCGCCGGAGCCCAGCAGGTCGAGGCTGCGGTGGCTGGGAGCGGCCACTGCACTCCAGTCTGGGCGACAGAGTGAGACTCCAACTCAAAAAAAAAAAAAAACAAAACAAAGGAATACTACATTGGTTAGTACCCAGCACCCAAAAAGCTTTAACTCAATTTTCAAATGATGAACAGATATGAGCACGTAAAATAAAAATCATCTATGATAAATGTATTATAAAATTATGTAATATATTTTTATTATTTTTAGAGTACCAAAATCACATAAAGATATAATGAAATTCAAGCTGCCATAATCCTATCCTTCTGAGAAGTACCATTGATATTTGGTATAGTAAATAAAGCTAGCATTTTCCTAAATCTTAGTACATGTCAGTTACAAAGTAGGAAATTAAAAGATGGGGGTTTCAAAACTAGCTCCCTCTGAATCCAAACACATGATCTTAAGCAGTGAGCATCCTACTAGTATGAAGGTCAAAACAAAAGTACTTTAAATTTAACACTCCAGAATGAGAAGCAGCATCCTCATTTATGTGTGGGGGTATGGATTGGCAGGGGGTAGAATGTTGTTCCTTTAACATTGTTTTTGAAACTTACTGATTTCACATTGATTCCAGGAAAGAAGCCATTGATGACAACATGAATGGAATCTTGCAGCATGGTGGTCCGAAACCTTTCTAGTAAGTCTCTCTTAGAACCCAAACCATAAAGTACTATGTTGAACCCGAGGCTGTTGGGAAAGATAGTATTCATAAAATTAAAGTTCAACACCTCTTATTCCCAATTTGATTATCAACAAGTTTTCTTAAATTAAGCTTTTATTAAAGGAAGAATTGGAATGGCTAAATAACTAAATTATTGATACCTAACTTATAACAGGTAAAGGTACAACTTTAGTATCAGTATACCACACTTATAGTTCCAAATTCTTTAGAAGCTTTTGCTCCAGCTCCTGTTACCTTTTAAGTGGCAGATGCCTGGAGACCAGGGAAACCATGACCGGTAAAAGACACTGAAGCAGAATTTAAAGTGATAGATTAAATTGCAAGGGTAAGCAGAGGCCAGGTTACAAAGGTCTCTTTAAATTATACTAAGATGTTAAGCAGACTTTATTTCAAGGATAATGAAAATGATTGACTGACTGACTGATTGTCTGAGTTGGAGTCTCACTCTATTGTCCAGGCTGGAGTGCAGTGACACAGTCGTGGTTACCTCAGCCTCAACTTGCTGGGCTCAAGCAATCCTTCTGCCTCAACCTTCCTAGTAGCTGGAACTATAGGTGCATGCCACCATGCTCAGCTAATTTTTTGACTTATTTTAGAGACTGGTCTTGAACCCCTGAGTTTAGGCAATCCTCTCATCTCCACCTCCCAAAGTGCTGGGATTACAGGAGTGAGGCACTGCGACCAGCAAGGAAAGAGATTATTTAAGAGTGACTTGGTTTTCTGCCATAGCAATGATATGAGTGGAGTAACTGACAGTTACTGTGCTGGATAGTAGAGGCTGGTGGGAACAGTGGATTTAAGATGAGTTCAGCCGGGCTTGGTGGCTCAGGCTGTAATCCCGTGCCTTTGGGAGGCTGAGTTGAGTGGATTGCCTGAGCCCGCAGGTTCAAGACCCGCCTGGGAAGCGAGACCTCATCTCTACAATAAATCAAAAAATCAGCTGGGCGTGGTAGTGCATGCCTGTAATTCCGGTTACTTGGAAGGCTGAGGTGGAAGGATCGCCGGAGCCCAGCAGGTTGAGGCTGTGGTGGCTGTGAGTGGCCACTGCACTCCAGTCTGGGCGACAGAGTGAGACTCCAACTCAAAAAAAAAAAGATGAGTTCAATTTTACATATGTTATATTATTTGCAGGACATACAAGTGGAAATTTCCAGTATACACTCAGATGTCTAAGTCTGCTGCCGGGAGTAAGGTCTGTGGAGATAACAGTTATGACTGTCATTCACATATAAAAAGCAAATGATGCCAAAAGAGTGAACAAGATCATCCAGAATACCCAGCAGTAGGGGTTAAACTAAAATCCAACTCCATGATTATTTTTGAAGATCAATCAGAAACAGTATTTATACTGCTCTTTAGCAATGCAAGATGGCCTGGAAACAAAAGAACAGAAAAGAGATAACCTCCAAAGGTAGATTACCAAGGTCGAAGCAGCAGAAGGAGGCAATGGAATTCAGAGCTAGCGGTCCCACTGAAGTAGCTGACAGTAAGGTCTAGTCTTGGGAGCAAAGCAAACCAAGTTACCTGAGTTGCCATACTGGGATAAGAAAGAATTGCTGCCTGGGAAATGGGATCAGAGTGAAGAACTACTTTATAAATGTATTGACAGGTTGGGTGTGGTGGCTCACTCATGCCAGTAATTCCAGCACTTTGGGAGGTAGAGGCGAGTACTGCCTGAGTCCAGGGGTTCAAGAGCAGCCTGGGCAACCTTGTGAGACCTCATCTCTACAATAAATCAAGAAAGTGGCTAAGTGTGGTGGCACATTCCTGTGGTTCCAGCTACTTGTAAGACTGAGGTGAGAGGACTGCCTGAGCCCAGAGGGATGAGGCTGCAGTGGCTGTGAGTGTGCCACTGCACTCCAGCCCAGGCAACAGAGTGAAGCTCCTACTAAAAAAGAAAAAAATGTATTGAAAGAAGATGAGGTCCTTGCAGGGAAGGTAATCATTCTCTTCCCTGCATAACCCTTGGGTATATTATTGGCAAAAGAAAACCAGATCACTTGGGGGCAGCTGTGGCAATTTCTATGTTCTTACTGCTTGACAGACCTGTTTTCTTCTTCTTCTTGTTTTGTCACTCAAGCTGGAGTGCAGTGGTGTGATCATAGCTCACTACAACCTCAAACTCCTGGGCTCAAGCAAGCCTCCCGCCTCAGCCTCCCAAGTAGCTAAGACTATAGGCATGTGCTTGGTTCATTTTTAAAATTTTTTATACACACAAGGTCACAATGTTGCCCAGGCTGGTCTCATACTTCTGGCTTTAAGTGATCCTCGCGTATCAGCCTCCTAAAGTGTTGTGACTACAGGTGTGAGCCACCATGCCCAACCCATGGATCTGCCTTCTTATTTACTGCAGTGACAATGTTACCCTGAGTCTGAGTGTATATTCACATTAGTGTACATTTTAAGCACTTCCTTATGTTGAGGTCTTTAAAAATATATGTTAAAAGGTAATTATAGTGGCTGGGCTCGGTGGCTCAGCCTGTAATCCCAGCAACTTTGGGAGGCCGAGGTGAGTGGATTGCCTGAGCCTGTGGGTTCGAGACCCACCCAGGCAACTTGGCGAGACTTCATCTCT